AACTGAAAGAAAAAGCTCCAGGTTACACAAAAATGAGTAGCAGACTCGAAGATTGGACTGATTCCATGAACTGCAAAGAATAACTAAATGACTGATAAGGGTGGGGAATGGGGAGGTGAGAGAAAGCTAGCTGGAAATAGAAAAACAGATCATAAGAGTTTCTATAGGTATTTAAATACGAAAATAGTAAGTCTTCTAGAGAGTGAGGCTGGGGAATTAATAATGGAAGATAAACTGAATGGATATGTGCAATCTGTCTTCACTGTAGATGATGCAAATAACTTCTCAGAATCAGAATATAGAAATGAGTGATCAACTTAAAATAATTACAATTACCAGGGAATGCTGCTGAAAACATTATTAGAACTAATATCTGACAAGCCCCTGTCCTATTGGACTCATCCTAAGGTATTCCAATGACTGCTGTGTTTGCAGATGCATTGGTCTGAATTTTCCAAAATTCTTTAGGTTCTGAGCAGATCTCATCAAATTGGGAAATAACAATATGACTCTTCAATTAACAAAAGAGGAAGACAGAAAGTGGAAACTATAGGTCAATTAGCCTAACATCTGTCGTAGAGGTATAGTGGAATCCATTATATCAGGCACATAAGAAATCTTAATGCAATCAGACAGGATATGGATCAGTATAAGGGAAATCATGTTTGAGTGCTTTATTAGAGTTTTTTAAGGAACGAGCAACATGGATACGGTGAATCAGTACTGCACTTAGATGGCCAGAAGGCATTTGACATAGTGTAACATCAAAGGCTTCTATGCAAAATAAGAGCTCGTAAGGGGTAACAGACTAGCATGGATAAAGTATTGGTTGGCTAATAGGAAGGAGAGAGTGGACGTAAATGGGTCTTTTTTGGGATATGACTTATGTTGTGCCTCAGGGATCACTGTTGGAACCCCAGTTATTTACAACTAATGTAAACGACAGATGAAGGGACTGAATGTAATTTACTGATCAAAACAAGACAGGTAGGAAAGTAAGTTGTGAAGAGAACATAAGGAGTCAGCAATTAGAGTTGGGCAATAAATGCTGGCCCTGCCAGTGAAGCACACATCCCATGAGTGAATTTTAAAATGTGGGGAAAATATGAACTTAGCCACTTTGACAGTCATATTAGAAAAGCAACATATTATTTAAATGAAGAGAAATTGCAGAATTCTGAGATTACGTACGGACCTGGGTGTCCTGGTACATGACTCGCCCAAAGCTTAGTATGCAGGTAGACAAGGGATTATGAAGATAAATGAAATGTTGATTATTGCAACAGGAATGGGATAAAGAAGTAGGGATGTTTTGCTACTGTTGTGCAGAATGTTGGTAACATCACATCCAGAGGACTATGTACCATTTTGATCTCCATATTTAAGAACGTAAATGCATTAGAAGCAGTGTAGAGAAATTTCATGTGGCTGACACCTGGGATGAGGCTGCTATGTTTTGAGGAAAAGTCCGACTGGTTGGGCCTATATCCTTAGGGGTTTAGAAGTATGACAGGCAAGCATATTGATACAGATTCAATAGGACTTGACAGGTGTGTGTTTTAAGGACATCTCCCCATGTGAGAGGGATTAAAATATTGGGATGCAATTTAAAAATAAGGAGTCTCCCATTTAAGACAGAAATTTGGGGGATTTTATTTTCCTCTCACACGGTTGTGAGTCTTTGGATCCCTCTTCTCTCGAGAGTGGTGGAGGCAGGGTCATTGAATACTTTTTAGGCCGAAGTAAATATCTACTTGATCAACAAGAGTCAAAAGGTATTGAGGTTAGGTGGGAATGTGGATTTGAGAATACGATCAGATTAGAAATGACTTTGTTGAATTGCAGAGCAGGCTCAAGGGACCGAATGGTCTACTGTTGCTCCTAATTTATATATTCAAGATGAGATCACAATATTGTTCGTACAAGTAGAGTGGGTCGTATTAAAAATCTGGCAATTTTAAAACCTGGTATCAGTGAAGGCAGAAGTGACAATGAAGTTATTAGATAATTATAAAAGTCCAGCTAGTTCAATGACGTCTTTTAGGGAAGGAAACCTGCTGTCGTTATCCGGTCTGACCTATCTGTTACTTCAGTTATGCACTAATGTGGTTGACTCTTAGCTGCCCTCTGAAATGGCCAAGTAAACCACTTGATGTTATCGAGCCGCTGCAAAGAATAACAAAGCTTCAGCAGTTCAAGAAGGTGGCCCAGCTCCTCCGTCACTGGGAAAGTTGGAATGGGCAATAAATGCCAGCCCTCCCAGCGACACCCACATGCTGAGAATTAATTTCAAAGAAAATTGTTCATGTTGTAGCTGTCAGAGCCTGACAAAAAAAGACATTGCAAAAGCTGAAGGGATAGAAAAAAGTGCTGACACTTCTTCCTCACCAGAAGTTTAATGAAAGTGCAGTCTTTATATATTTTATGGACAAGGCAGCAGTCTATCTTGTATCAAATATTCGAAAGGAGATTCCATGACGTTGAACAAATTTATGTAATGGCTTAAACATGGATATCAAAGAAATTAAACGTTGTCTGTGTTCCCTAAATTCACATGATCTACATCGAAATTTTGTTTCTTCAGTCTCCTCTTATAGTGGTTTTTGTTAATGTTGGTGAGACATTAGGACTAATACAGCAAGCACCATTACAGGCTCAGTGATGCGCAGACGAGGGAAGCGTGATTGTGAATCTACTCAAACAAAGTATCCATGTCAAACTTGGCAGAAGTTAACTTTGCCTTATTTCCTCAAAAGTAGACCATGACAAAGCTTTTACACGTGAATTTGAACTGTATATCAATTGGTGGCAATAAACTCTTCAGTAAGTGTGGGAAGCATTTAAATGGCTGCACCAAAGCGTCCCCCCACCCCACCATCTAATCAATATTAGCAGCTACTTTAAGAAATTTAAAGCCATTGAAGAGCAATTGAAAATAAATAATAATTAGCAGATAATCACAACAGACACTTCCTTTTGGTGTGTTATATTTGCAGAACTTTAATCATGATTACAATGTTACATAAGATTGGAATGAATTATAAGGAATTCACATATATATCAACATTATGCCATAAGTTCAACACAAACATAGCTGCTTGTATCATTGTTTTCATAACAAGGATTTAGGTTATCATTGAAGTTTGTTGTTCTTTACACAACCAGTTTGATACCATCCTGTGGGTGAAAAAAAAACAAAAAGTTAAGTCAACACAACCTAACCAACCACAATCAAATCTGAGGAGTAGACATTTAAATATATCCCTCACAGCTGGTCATAGAATGTGGGTGAGTGCTGACAGACTTGCTGATTCCCTTGGCCTTTGTAGTCTGTCTTGCGCCCATACCGAGTCAGGCTGCATAATGTTGGCAGCCTCTTATTCTAGCCATGCTGTTACCTTTGTTTTCATTTAATCAATTTTGGACTTGCAAGGGTGTCAGTGCTCACAACTAAAAAGTTTTGCTTCCAATGTGGTCATTTAGCACTGGGTCAGGGTCATTTGTCCTGCTCAAAAACAGCAAGAGAAAGAGGGAGAGAGACTCTTGCATGAACTGACTGAGCAATCAATAAACTCCATCAACTGTTTTACTCTCTTATGGAAGAGCATTTGTGCATTCCAGCACGTAGCAACAAGCAGTTTATGAGAAAATTTAGATCAGTTTTGTTGTTTTTGTAATGAATTATGCTTGTCGTGGTGATTTTCGTGTGACAAAAATGAAACCTTTGCAATCTCAGTTATCAAGTGACAGCACCAAAAACTCCCATACGTATCACAACTAGGCCCAGAAAACCGTTTTTGCTTTGCCCGGACAGTGTATTTCACACTTGTACTGCAGCAGTGTAGTAGTTTTTTGTTCCTCAAAACAGCTATCCACTTGTCCTTTTGAATGGAGAGACTGCTTTGTGCTGAATTAAAAGCACTTTCCATGTGCTTTCCATTAAGACTGCATTGACATAATCCAAGTGGGTTCTTTCCGTGATGCCCTCATTTCCGAAGGTTAGGCCACAAACATCTCATTCAATTAGTCTGTAGTAATGGGAAAAGTACAGGAGTAGTTTCCCATTGCCTTCTGCAGGATATTTAACTAGGAAAGTCACCCACTCTTAGTGCCTGCCATCAGGAGTACTGGCAGGATTCACAGGCTGATAATCAACCAAAGCAGAAAGTTCTGGAGAAACTCAGCAGGTCTGGCAGCATCTGAGGAGAGAGAAACAGAATCAGCATTTCAAGTCCAGTGAATCTTCATCACAACTGTTCACTGGACTCAACGTGAACTCTGTTTATGTCTCCACAGATGCTGTCAGACCTGCAGAGTTTCTCCAGCGTTTTGTGTTTTTGTTTCAGATCTGCAGTTCGTTGTTTCATTTCTGATAAGCAGTCAGTTTCGCCTCATTACAAGTGCACCATAGATGGTCAGCAAGTGCTGGCTTCAGTCTCAAACCAGAGGTTTCTGACCAAGAGGTAGGGACAATACCTGTGCACCGCAAGAGCCTGTCCACTGTGATCTTTACAGTCAACAAATAGTGGAGGATTTCTGCTCGTTTGACTGGCTAAATTAGTTTTGGACATGAAAAATTTGAGTGTTACCAGCAGTAACTACAATGTCCAGTCATCACTTTTTTTTTTGTTCAAAGGGAACATGTTCTTTTCATATTTTTCTACAGATCCCTCAATGCACTCAAGTGCACAAAATGCCTTCTCAATCACTTTTGTTCTGAAAGTATTAATGACTGCAAGTAGAAAAATGAAGTGTGTGGGTGCTCCACTTTTATTACTCTATTCTCAATGTTCAAAATACTGCAGTGAAACCTAACCCCTTGTGTAATCTAGATTTTTTTTTAGGATGTGCTTGGAAAGGAGATTTATGTAGGTAAAAAGGTTAATGCAATGCAAGGGAGGGCGAAGAGTTTAAAATGTGGGGGAAATAAAGATATAATAAACCATGCATGTTTCCGGTGGTTGTTTTTAATTGTAATTCGTCACATCTTCTGGAAACAGGGAGCTGCCCAGGCTGCAAGAAATTTGCCAAATTTGCAAGAGTTCAAAAACGCAAGGATCATCAAAGTTAATCCCGACAAACCACAGGAAAATGTCCGTTTGCTCACACTTGAAGTAAGTCTTTGCTTCTTATTGTCATTGCAGGGTGCATATGATGCCTGTAATAGAATCAAAAACTTAGATAGTTTCATCAAGACGAGTGATGTGAAGGTGGATCCTGACAAACCACTAGAAGGAGTCCGTTTAGCTACGCTCCAGGTAATAAGTCATTTAAAACCAAGCACTTAAACACAGCAGTTTTAAATTAAACCTCCTGAATCAAAAAGGCAGCCAGACAATTATTTATAAAGATTTTCATTCACAATTGCTACCACATGCATATTTTCAACATGAATAGCCATGGGTGCTAAGCTGTTTCAATAAAGCCATAATAGCAATAGTTGTTACCACTCTTTTAATGTCTTCTTCTCGTTGCACTGTTTCTGCAATGAAACGAATCTCAAAGACTTTCTGTTTCTTAAATAGAAAGTTGTATAGGGTGAAAAAAACAACTATGGGATCTCTTCAGATACCCTAGTAATTGGTACTTTAATATCCCTGCAGAAATTCATGAAATGGTTCATTCTGTTGCTGTGATGCCTCAGTGTAAAAATGAAACATGATGAAATGCAGACCATGATGGTTTTGGTCTCTGTCCCCAGTCTGCATTGTGTTTGTCCTTTCCTCAGTGAAGGTACCAAGAGACATTATGGTTAACCTCAATTCATCTTGAGCAAGTACAGCTGATGTTTTTCTTCCCAATAACTATCTGATGATCTTTCTTGGAGATGTGCATGTACAAACTTTTCATAAAATGAGATCAGAAGTGGGTGTGATGTCCCCTTATTGGTCAACATTCAGAAGAGTTGCAAGTGAAGACTAAACCTCTTGTGTGATTTACTGGCAAACGGAACTAAAGTAGTTTCAAAATAAAAGAAGGGGCATGAGTTGAGTGAAGGGCTTAGAAATGGCTTTTTGGTCGAAATGAAGTTATCCTTTTTGACAGTCTAAATATAGTGTCATGAAACAATGTTGTGATTAAACTGTAGATGAGTGATTTTTAAGACTTATTTTTGATGATAAAGTCACCTTGCAAATATAGGAATTTTTCATTTGGTACAATGCTAAGTATTTAGCAAAGGTGCAGATTGACCATCATTATTTTATTAAGAAAGAATAATATTTGAAGGTGCATCTCCATTCCTGCTCCAGAACTTATCTTGAGGTTGCCTTGATGGATTGACCATTTATTTGTTTTGTACCAATTTGCAAAGCCCTCATGTTGACTGGAAATCCCCAAATCTGCCATTTGGGGGCAGAAAGTCATTCATACCCTGTGCTGGTTTCTTTTGAACTGGATCCAGAACAACAGTCAACAGCCTTTCTATGTATGATATTGACTTGGTTCACGAGATTGCATTGTATACTCAGTCCACAACAACAAAGTGACTAGCAAATCAATGTCAGCTCAACCAAATATAACAAGAGGGATCAGGAAAATCACTGTGTCAAAGGCTAGCCATATGAAAGGGTCAACTCGTTGACTGTAAACATACTTTAAGAATCGAGAGCATTTTACAATTATGGGTGATTTATGAATATGTGGCAAAATGCATGGTCATTCCAGCTTCACTTCACAAAGACGTTCTGGAGAAATTTCACCAGGGACATTTTGGGAATCACCAAATGCAGAGCCAAAGCTTGGTCAACTTAATGGTGGTCTGGGGTGACCAAGGATATTGAATACCCCATGGCTGACTGTGAAACTTGTGCTGTTCATAGACCAGAGCAACAAGAGCTATTAATATTTTCTGCATTCCCCAGCAGACTGAGGGAGGTTAGAAGCTTAATAACTGCTACCACGGAAACAGGTATTTCTCCCTTTTTCAGTTTAGTGCAAAATCCATGAAGTCAGAGACCCTATACACAGGAAGAGTAAAGTGCAAAATGTTTTCAGTATCATTCGCTTCATCTTGGGGGAATCCACTGGATTAAAACTTCATTGCTACGATCACTTGATAGGCATTGCAACAATGGCTTTGCCCTGCTCTGAGACTGCAGGATCACCTCTAAGAGGTGGCATATTTCTGTGAAGCACAGCTCCCAAGTGCATTTTTCCTGCTTTAGGTACAGATGGAAGAAGTGCTGTCTGAAATCCCTGGTTAGGTAAGGCTTCCCACTCCTTTTGCTGCAAGTAACCTCTCAACTCTCCATTGTTTTTTTTTCTCACGGATATTTCCAGTACAAAGGGGTTGTGGCAGTAGTTTCCATGACTAAGATGAGGCAATGTACTCGGGGATCTTTCAGAAGTCCAGAACTCCTTCATATCACCATTGACAGCTGATATGATCAACTGTGCACAGATTTTCCAACAACCCAGGATTTTCAGGAACTCTGGAACATCAATTAAATAGTCATAAGCAACTCAGCTTCAGGTTGTTTGGCAATTCCTTAAAATAGTGCTGACAACAGGGGTCTTCCATGCATCTCTGCACATGTTCAGCTCTACACATTCAAAAGCGCCTCCTAACTAGAGCAGCGAAATGGATAATGACTGATGGGGCATCAACTTGGTGTTACAGGCTGACTGACATGATGATCTGCACACACTTTATTTGGAACACCCACACTGCCATTCTGGAAAAAAAAACGGTAACAGTGATTGTAGCTCTGTGATTTAGTTCTTCTGTCCCTGCTCCTCATGGCGTGGAAAGCTCTATGGAGACAAATTTTGTGGCCACTATTTATTAAAAGTCATTTATTGTATATAGCACTTTTGAGGTCTTTTCATGATATGCTGTCAATTGTAAGTTTCCCTCTTCCTTTGAAAGCCATCCAACTGGCTCACTACCAAGTGAATAACATTTATTTTCATGTTCAGGCATTTTAATAAAATATCAGGTGAAACTTTTCCTCTGCAAAATGTATTAAAAGCATAATTGATGTGAAAAGGTAGCAACTGGTTACTCTGGGCCTCCACAGTTGAAGAAGGACGCATTGAAAATCTTACAACTTGGGAGGTCATGTACTGTAATTAATTGCAGTCAACAATTTGACTGCTTCCAGACTGGATACTTGGTTATTTGACCCCATAATAAAAATGGGCTAAGGCAAGGGAAGTATTTCAACATGAACTTAAGAAGAACCCAAGCTAGCTGCTTTCAACCCTGTTTTACTCCTCCACATTGCTTGAAGAGTATTTTTACTTTGTCCTCGGGCACACATCCAGGCTGTCCCAATGCCAAGATATCACTGGAGTAAACGTATGGGTATAGTTCAGAGGACCACCACTCAGTCCACCAGTTGTTATAGGATGGCTGACTTTTGGTTCTCTGATGCAGGTCACACATATAGCATGTTTTTGAATTTATAGGCTTGGATGATTGTTCTGGGGAGGAGTCCCATTGGTACTAAACTTAAAATGCTTGGTTGATCTTCCAAGGAATGTTGCACTATGCCTTTAATATGTCAAAATTCATACCTTAGATGTTTACACAAATGTGATGTAGAATTTGTTTAATTATTAAATCAAATGGGAGTAACCCATGTGGACCAAAGAATCAGTGGGAGCAGTTCACATGCACAATTTATTGTGCTCAACAGTAATGGGGAGTTTGTTAATATGCAGTCCATATCTTGCAGATCACTTCAATAAATATGATTTTGCTATTACAGAAAGTAATTTGAGATTTTAAAGCTGTTATGTAATTTTAAAGGTGAATTACAAGGTTGAGCAGCAAAATCTGTCCTGATAACTATGTTATCTATAGGATGTTGAAAATTACTCTGGAGAATGCAACACACCTGAATACTAAATGCCTCATTTTTGTTTATTGCACTCAGAATGTTTGTGGTCTAGAAATATTAATTCTGTACTAAAATTACGAACCAGTGTTGTGACATCTCCACCAGTTAGATAGTAGTCCACTGATATCACAACTCTGGTGTTAATTGCCAGTTTACTGTGGATCAGTTAGATTGTGTTGATATATCTTTCCTGTGTACTTTGGAAAGAAAAAGTTATACAGGTGAGCCAAAATTTCATCACTTTTTATATTCTTTGTTTTACTTATTGCAAAGACCTATTATGGTGTAAAGACTACTGAGCAAGAAGAACAGCAAAGTCAGAACCAATGTATATTGATAAAAGAAAGATTTCAAATTTATATTGTGAATTTTCTTATGATTTTGGGGTGGCCTAAAGTATTTTACAGCCAGTAATTTTTTTAATATGTAGTCATTGTGTAATACAGGAAATGCAGCATTCAATTTATGTACAGTGAACTTTCACATAGTCATGTGTTAAGACCCAGATTTGAGGGATGATGATTGAGCACTAAATATTGAAGTAAATACCGGGGAAATCTCCCGTTCTATATATTAGAATAGTGCCATATGTTCGTTTACATGGACAAGGTGGATTGTTGATTTGATGCCTCATCCAAAATACAGCTTCACAAACTGTGCAACACCTCCTTAGTTCTGCACTGGAGTGTTAGCCTACATTTTTGTGCTGAAATTGTTGGAGGAACTTGAACCTGCAACCTCCTGGCACAGAGGAGAGTGCTACCAACTGAGTCATAGCTGATACTACACAGTGGTGAATTGCTTTTGCCCTCCATTGCCCTTTCCTAAGGTCATACTTGTTTTATTGCTTTCTATCTGGTTGTTTGATTGTTCCCAGTTGCTACCTCCTCATGTTGCTTGCTGTTTGGTTCCATTTGTCAGAGCTGGCCAGAGTGAATACCTTGGTACATGACCACAGAGTTGATTTCAGTGTAATGTAGTAACTACCTCATCTCTGAACTATTCACAACACTAAAAAAATCTGTAAAATGCCAACAGAAACCAATGTGATCCTGAAAACAAAAACAAAGGTTATAGGATGGCAAAATGCACTTGAATAGCATTAAGTTGCGAATTGGAGTATTGGGTGGCAGGATTGCTGTAAACTCAGTCCATAATCTGAAAAGTTCCAGAACTCCATGATATTCCTACAGGAAGAACTTGCTTAATTCCATGGTTATGAAAAAAGAAGGTAAAGAAAGTTGCCCACATTGCACTGGCTATGTCGT